GTATAATCTCTTTTCGGTAATATCCCCATTGTATAAGGCGTTTCATGCATTTTACCTCACATGTATATGTAATGGCCTTTGGCCCTCAGTAAAGTCCAGTTGCTGATTATCCAACAGTTGCAAACTTAATTCCTGTTATTTTGGTAGTTATGTACTGATGGTCAAGTTGATAGTGCTTTGTTGCTATGTTGTTATGTTGACAATGTGATATGACATGCTAAGGTCATGTTCCCAAATGATGTGATCACTTATTCTGTCAGCTTTTCAAATCTTTTGAATTGTAATGTTAAAACTGGTATAAAATGAATTGCAATGCTCAGATAGAGAGGCCCAGTGGAGAGGAAATAACATATGTATGGTTCCCAAGCTTCAGCAGCGAGAAATCTTCCTGCACGCTACCTCAGTCGACTAAAATGGCCACGTGAGCAGGTGGGGGCGCGTTTAGTACCTCTGGTGCACAACTTAAATTGTTTTGGAACCCAAATATTTAGTTTCAAAGTTTTAGGACCTACTTGATACCTTTCGAATGGTTATAGGACTGCTGATGTCATTTACTCAAAAAAAAAAACTATTACACTTAGTATTCAGAAAATTTTATGATATTATCCTAGTCTACGTATGCTTGGAAAACCAGAATACTGGATTAAAATATGACATATTCTGCAAAGGGTGCTGTTTACTGAAACAGAAAAAGAAATAACTATGAGACAATGGGGATAGGGCATCGTCAAAAAATCATGGGATCACATCATACCTACCAGTAGCTGGCAGAGGAAACGTGAGTATGATCACAAAAAGAAGCAAATTCAGAGTATAAGCCAGCATTGTCATACTACTTGTATTTTTCTGTAATATGTTTAGGAACGCCGATCATATCATGACATGCCTTGCAAAGTGAAGAAAAAAAATGTTCAAAGATGTGGATGTGATCTAAATAAACATACACCACAAACTGAAGAACTTTTGATCGTCCTGTAGCTGAAATCGATGTATCCAAGTGCCACTCGTTTGAGTTTACCTATCAATTTCATTGCACAACTAAATTAGTACGGCTGACACTTAAAAATGCAGGCATTAACAAGCAGTTATCCAAAATAATGCAGCAATGAGCAAGACTAGATTATATATACAGAGTAAGTCGGAAACATACAAAGAAAGGAATGTCTCCCATACTTAGGACATTGCCCCCCAATTTATTGTCAGAATAAGAATAGGACGACTTCGGAGTGTGGTAGAGAACCTGAAAAGAACAGGAGAGGTTGTACAGTACTTATTAATACGGGGCACCTTTAGAGGAGATAATCAGATAAGAGGACACAAGTTTGGTGCAAACAAGGCAGAATATGCACCTGACTCTCTATATTGATATCGGCAATTGGTCGCAGGGCCTCAACCACAGGAGTCAGGATTCTCTCGCCAATATTTTTGAACTCCCTGCATGTGGGATGCCTAACTGTAACAGCAGGAGCTATAATAGGACAACAAGTTGTAACTTAGCCTGTAGGTAACTACGTAGTACAAAGAAATAAACTCTAATTGATTCTATATGAGGGAGCCAACAGATGCCTATAGTCAGTGCTGACATATGTTCCATAACTCCTCAGTAATATTACTGCCATTGTATTTTACTTAAACAATCTACTCACAGGACAAAGTTAAATTTTGAACACATGGCGGAAACGCAGCGATAACTTGGATACCATATTGTAACTGTTCTTACCAATCATAGACCCAATCAATTGGATCAGCGTTCAACAGGCTGAATGAAAGAACAACATTCCCATCTGAATCAACTGGCATGAACTCTCCTTTTCCAATGCCTGTCTCGCCCTCCTCAATACCGTCATTCATGAAATACTTGATGAACACCTTGCCAATAAGTGACACGGTCTCAGCCTCATCAACCTTCCCAACCACCCAAGCATGACGGTGCTTTCCGATCACAACCCTCGTTATTCCCTTCCCATCATCATTCTCAGCAATGACAATAGTGTAAACCTTCATCCCATCCCCACCACCACCACCCAATGCGGAGTGCAGCAATTCATCGAACGCCTCGTCACCGCCGACCGAGTCCGCTGCGGTCACGGAGCCGCATCGCCAAGGCAAAGCGGCAGCCGTGCTGCTGGTGCAGCCACCGTCCGAGTCCGACTGGACGGCGACTGACACGGAGATGTTCCTGGCAGTAGAAGACGCGGGGAGGAGGTGGTGCTGGGTCGAGACTGCCAGCTCGAGCTGATCGGCAAGGGACGCGGCGGGGGAGCCAGGGCCGGAGTGGAGGCCGCGGGGAAAGAAGGGCGGGTGGGATTGGAGGCGGCGGGACAGGCCGGCGATTGCGTCGGAGGGCAGCGGCGACCGGTGGATCTCGGTGGATTTGAGCAGCAAGGGCAGTCCTGTGGAGAGAGAGCGAGATGCGCGCGGGTTATACGGAGAAGAGAAGAGAAAAAGGCCCTAAAACTGGTAGATTTGGGGAGGTTAGAGCATTACTAGTAGTACCCCTAAACTCTCAAATCCTCAAAAATAACCGTTTTTTTACGGGTTGAGACGAAAAAATCGCAAAGAATAGAACCCCTTAACCCTTAAACCCTTAAACTTTTTTAGAGGCTCAACCTCTATACTTCTTCCCAGCCTGTAGAAACAGGGGTTGGCAGCCCAACCCCTCCCCGACCCGGTTTCGTCTTCTCGTTCGCGCGGGAGGGAGTTTTCAGCTCCCTCCCCAGATCCAGCCGCCTCCGGCCACACTGCCCGCCTTCGGCCGCCTCCGGCCACCCCGTCGCGCACCGCCCCGGCCACCCCTCCGCCTCCCCGCCCTGCCCCGGCCGCCTCCCCG